TTCTGATGGTCTTGGTGCCTGTTTGGACTTCATTTTCTTACTTGTTTTGAAGTTTTCTTAATGATAGCATCTCAAGCCATGATAACAGAAATGATTAGTCTACAGTAGAAAATCTTCATATGTGTTTTTATCATGGTCATTAGTGTTTGCTAAAATTCAGTGAGAAAATGAAAAGAAGTTTGGGAAGATAAGCAAGATAGGATAATATTTGTGACTTGCTAGAGTATGTTTCTCTTTCAAATTAGAAGCTCCAATTATATGATTTTTCAATCCAAAGATAGAACATTGCGGTCTTTAAGTAAAATTTTGGTTCTTAGTCTAATAACATGTAAAAGATGGAAAAGCACTTTTTTAGAAGATTTCGGTATTTTTCTCCTGATATTTGTATCAATGCATCAGAGCTGCTGTATTATTTTTGCTTTGATGCCATTTTTCTGTGTTTCAGTTGCTCCAGTCTGTTATGCACACCTGGCGGCAACTCAGCTGGGACAATTCATGAAATTTGAGGACAAGTCTGAGACTTCAAGCCATGGCGGGCACTCTTCTGCCTCTGCTGGTTCTGTTCCTCAGTTACCGCCACTGCAGGAAAATGTCTGCAACTCCATGTTCTTTTGTTGAGGCTCAGGAGCTCCGGGCTTTCAGCCTCCTGCTAGCTATTTCAAGATTAAAATATGCTGCTATATATATACATATATACATACAAACTATCAGCAATTCTCTGTTTTGTGTTTTGGGAACACAGCTGAACTTGTGATAAACTGAACCAAACCTTGTCAGGTGCTTTTGGTACTTCCTATGTTGGTGCTTACTGTGTTCAGTAGGTTTAGTATTTATGACTGATCTAGGATTTGACCTTCGGCTTCTTTGGACGTTGATATGTATGAAGCCTCGGCATGTATGGTTCATGTGCTTGTTTATATCTGAAGGACATGTTTAGATGCTACCTGTTATTTGGGTCCTGTTTTAATTTGCGGTTTAGCTCTTATCAGCGTTTTGAAATTTGTACTTGTCACTGAAGTGGTCAATTCTGGTACGAGGTTCACTTTTTTTTTTTGGAAAATAATTGAGAAGTTTGACTAATTTTTGAATGGTTTTCTTTCTGATGGTTTTTCGAATATTTATTTTCCTTTTTCTTTTTTGAGAGGGCGGAAATAAAAGACAAACAACAAAAGCTGTCTTTTTGATACCTTGATCAATTTGTTGCTTGATTATTGACTCATTATAACAAATTGTAAATCTATATTCGGTCTCTTGATTGTTTTTTATTATTTCAAACAATGTGGATATATTTTATTTAATGTAGATTACGAGAAATTTTGTTGTTTTATTTGTTAGTGTGGGTCCAAAGAATGTCTTTTTTCAGTTAATGTTAAAATATATAGGTTTAGTATTTATAGTTAGGGGTGATGAAATTTTTAATCTTCAAGTATTTTGCAGACTTGGTTTTTAAAGTCAATTTGATCATTTATGTTTTTTTAATTATTGCGTGAGTTTTAAAATACAAATTGTGTCAATAATCTTATGTATTACCTGTATATATAATTAATTGAGAATAAATTAACTTTTAAATGTGCATTTTTATTAATATAATCTAATGTGTTACAAGTATATATGTAATTTCTGTTTTAAAACAATAAAGATCAAATCAATATTAAGAGATTAAAATAATATAAATTAAATTAAAGTATTAAATTGACGATTGAGATAAATTTAATAATTTAAAAGCTGCCTTAGCTCTTTTAAATATTATTTGTTCCATTTGACCTTTGCATGTATTAATGATAATTAGGTTTTAAAATATTAAATTAGTGAAATAAAATATTTGACAAAATATTGCAACTTTAAAAAAATAGGGAATATTTTATTCAATGATCACTTTAAAAAATTATTTATAAATAAAGATCAATAAAAAATAAATTATTATTAAATGAGAATGTGATTTTTTTTCTCTGAATGAAACTAGTTAATTTTCATATATAAATAATTTTTTTAAGTGATTTTTAATTTTTTTTTAAAATATTGTATTTAAAACATAATTGTTGTTAATTTAATCTTTTGATACTTGATTGTGATTCTCTGTCTCCTAATAAATGGTAAAAAAAAAAAAACCTATATACTATGACTTACTCTAAGAAAGAATTTCAGTCCGTTAGCAAAAAAAAAGAATTTCTTATGAATAAAAATGAAAGTGACGAAGAGCTTGGTCAAACCCAAAGCCGAAGTCCCAAAGACCAGCAAGAGTACATGCACGGTACCGGGACGGAGGTAACTCGAAAGTCGAAATCGAACACTATCCTCAGAACTTGGAGTGACCCATTATCGGCAAGTTCCCATTTGCTGCTTTTCGAGTGAACCAACAATATCATCGTTAGCCTGCTTCTTCTTCTTCTTCTTTATAGAAATGCTCGCGAACCTCCAACTCTTAGACACCAACTGTTTCCACGTAGTGGGTTCGTCCAACACACTTCTGGGCGTAGGAATTTCGGTTTCTCCGGCAGAAAAGTCTCACTCAGGAAAGCAAAAGTCTGGAGAGCAAAAGCTTCCTCATGCCCCCAATGGGAGTGTCAAGTGGACTCGCAGAGTACAGCGGGGTGTTCCTGATAGAAGAGATGGCGTAAACCAAGAACATGGGCTTAAGAAACAGAATTTGGAGAAGAATTTGAATGGTGGGGCTCCGAGGAAGAGGAATAACGGTGAAATTTTGAGGGTTGGCAATGGAGGTGGTGTGCAGGAAAAAGTGCAGACCAAGTGTTCGACGAAATGGGTTGCCTATGGTGGATGCATTCCAGCGATTCTGACAGCTTTGGATATGTTTCAGGATTTAGATGAGGCTTTTAGACCATGGGAAGAGAGGCTTAGCAACAAGGAAAGGAGTATAATTTTGAAGGAACAATCAAGGTGGGAGAGGGCTCTGGAAATTTTTGAGTGGTTTAATAAAAAGGGCCATGAATTGAATGTGATTCATTACAATATTATGCTGCGGATCCTGGGTAAAGCACAGAAGTGGAGCCATTTGGAGAGTTTGTGGGACGAGATGAATACAAGAGGAATTGCAGCGACCAATTCCACTTATGGAACTTTGATTGATGTTTATAGCAAAGGTGGGCTAAAAGAAGATGCACTTGTCTGGCTTGAAAGGATGCTTAGTAAAGGGATGGAACCTGATGAGGTGACAATGGTAATAGTGATTCAATTGTATAAAAAAGCAGGGGATTTTCAGAAAGCTGAAGAATTTTTCAAAAAGTGGTCATCAGGTGAACTTCTGACGCAGGAGAGAAATAATACACTTGATACTTCAGAAGTGGACAAGAGAGTAGCACATAGTTATGTTTGCCTGAGCTCACACACATATAACACCTTGATTGACACATATGGGAAGGCAGGTCAACTCAAAGAAGCATCTGAAACGTTTACCAAGATGCTTAAACAAGGAATAGCCCCAACTACAGTGACATTCAACACAATGATTCACATTTGTGGAAACCATGGACAGCTAGAGGAAGTTGGTTCACTACTGCAAAAAATGGAAGAGCTTCGATGTCCACCTGACACAAGGACTTATAATATTCTCATATCTCTCCACACAAAGCATAATGATATAGCCATGGCAACAAAGTATTTTTCAAAAATGAAAGAAGCCTGCGTTGAGCCAGACCCTGTGAGTTACCGGACTCTCTTGTATGCATACTCAATTAGGCAAATGGTCCATGAAGCGGAAAAAGTAATATCCGAGATGGATGAGAAGGGTTATGAAATTGATGAATTCACCCAGTCTGCCTTGACTAGGATGTATATAAAGGCAGAAATGCTAGAGCAGTCATGGTTATGGTTCAGGAGGTTTCATCTATCTGGGAACATGACATCTGAGTGCTATTCTGCCAACATTGATGCATATGGGGAGCATGGCCATACTTTAGAAGCCGAGAAAGTTTTCATTTGCTGCCAAGAAATGAAGAAGCTTAGCATCCTTCATTTCAACGTGATGATTAAAGCTTATGGGATAGGAAAGTGCTATGATAAAGCATGCCAGTTGTTTGATAGCATTGAGAAACATGGTATAATTGCAGACAAATGTAGCTATAGTTCTCTTATACAAATTTTGGCCAGTGCTGACCAGCCGCATCCTGCCAAATTTTATCTAAGAAAGATGCAGGAGGCAGGATTAGTTGATGATTGCATCCCATATTGCGCTGTGATTTCCAGCTTCACAAAGTTAGGTCATCTGGAAAAGGCAGAAGAATTATACAAGGAAATGATTGGCCATGCTGTGCAGCCTGATGTAATTGTTTACGGGGTTCTGATCAATGCTTTTGCTGATGCTGGAAGTGCTAAAGAAGCTATCGTTTATGTTGATGAAATGAAAAGGGCGGGCTTGCCAGGGAATGTGGTTATATACAACTCTTTGATCAAGTTGTATACGAAAGTTGGCTACTTGAAAGAAGCAGAAGAGACATACAATTTGCTTCAATCATCTGAAGAAGGTCCGGCTATATATTCTTCTAATTGTATGCTCGATCTTTATACCAAGCGATCTATGGTTGAACAAGCAGAAGAAATATTTGAGAGTGTGAAGAAAAAGGGATCGGCAAATGAGTTTACATACGCAATGATGCTTTATATGTACAAGAAAATGGGAAGGCTGGATGAAGCCATTCAAATTGCAAAGGAGATGAGAAAACTGGGGCTCTTGACTGACTTGTTGAGTTATAATAATGTGCTAGGTCTATATGCAATGGATGGGAGAACCAGGGAGGCTGTAGAGACTTTCAAGGAGATGATGACAGCTGCCATTAAACCTGATGATTGTACGTTCAAATCTCTTGGTTTTGTTTTGATGAAGTGTGGAGTTTCAAAGCACGCTGTTGGCAAGTTAGAAGTAATGATGAAAAAAGATGCTCCTCGTGGTTTAATAGCATGGATGTCGGCGCTCTCTTGTGTTCTTGATGCGGAAGATTTTGATGATGAATAGATATTTCCTCTTTAAGTTAGGCTAGCAACTTTTAGTGGATCGTTAAAGAGAATGGGTCTTGATTCAGAATGTCAGTTGCACCTATCTGCCAACTCAAAATTTCCAAGTGGATAATGTAAGACTGACATGACAGTTTATTCATTGGCTCCATGTTGATACAGTTGAAGGAGAACCAAGATTGAAACTGCGACAAAAGACAGACAGCTTTTTCCTTTGATGATCCACACTGTAGCATAACTCTTGCAGTTTGACTATGGACTATCCTCTGATTCAGAGCCAACCTAAGTACTTCCATATTGAGGAAACCAGGAGATAGAATCGACTGTAAGTAAAGGTATTTTGTTGTAAGATAATGGGACATTCAAGGAGATGATAATAGGAATCCAGGAAATAGAATTGACTGTAAGTGCTTTTTGTTGTAAGAAGCTTGCTATATGCAAGAAGTTCACAAATTATTGCATTGTGGGCTGATCTGTTTCTATTTGTGGGTTTCAAGTATCAATTCAACGCAAACTGTGAAGTGCGCATAATCTATCTGGACATTCTTTAACAAGAAACTGATGCATCAAACATAAACCTTTCCCTTTAAATACCTTGAACCATATGTTCACCAAAGCTCCCTGCATAAATTGCACTTGTTTTCATATATAAGATTTCCTTTCTCCTTTTATCTTATAAAAATATCTGAACCTTCTCAAAGTGCATCCGAAAGATGCAGCTATGACACAAACTATCTAAAAGTAGGCTAATTAGACATGGGAAAAATGAAAAAAAAAAAAAAGACAAAAGAAAAGAAAAGCATCCGAAATCTTATCAACATTCTAAGTTTTTTCCCCCCTCAGATTAAGTGAAGGCCCAAGTTGTTGTGGCCAGTAGCAGATAAAATACAGCGTGGTTTGCTTTATGAAATGGGAAAGCCTTGCTGGTCATAAGAGACCCTGGCTTCTCTGGTATGAATTCCTCAACATTTATAGCAACTTTCATGCCCTCAAAGCAGAACCCTTTGCCACTGATAAAATAATATGGTTTTAACTCTAAAAGTTGAAACACATCTCTCCCTCCTCTTGTGATGTTCATGATGAAGTCTTTGTCAACACAGTTCTCATAGCTTGTTTTGTTCACCTCCAGAACAGTGTAGAGTTGCTTGTCAAAACCAAAATCTGAAGGCAACCCAAAAAGACTCAGGCTGGAAAGTATGAACTTTGAAGATATAGAGTAATCCTGATGGTTAGCGATTGAGAAAAATAAAGAGAGCTCTTACACAGCCAATCACCCTTGTAGAAGTGGTCATGACCAGCCCACTCTGTGAAGTTAACTTTTGGTTTCCAGGTGTACCTTCCTCCTCCAACCCTGTGCAGCACAGGATCTCTGCTGTCACTGCAGAAACACCCCATTGCCATGGCCATCATTAAGCATAGTATTGTTTTTATCTTCATCTCCGTTCTCAATGTCTGAGGCTGTCAAGTGTTGAGAAATGAGAATGATATCCTTCCTCTGGTTTGAGAAGAAACTATCACATGCATGCAATTCTCAGTTAGATTTGGCACCAAGTGAGCATTTTGGTGTATATTCAGAACAAAAGTCTTTTCATCCCAAGAATCATGTGGGTCACTTCATCCCAAAAGTATGCTAAAAATGACAGTCCTTCCCCCGAACTTTGTATTTTTACTCAGTGAGTGCTTTTTTTGGCTCCCTAATTCAATGGGGCATGTGTTGTGAACAAACGATATTCACAACAAATTTGCAGTGTTGTTCTCTCCATCCATACCTACCCCATCATGCATTTGTAATTGCTATTGTACAAGTGGTTCTTGTGTACTTGCCAAAACCAGAAAAAAGAACATGCATTCAGGTTTGAGCAATGGTTTGAAAAGCTATGATTCCAAAAGATAGTGTTTTAATAACAATGTTTATCACATTTGTAAGTAGACAAGTTTCTATGAAATTTTTAGAAATGAGTTATACTTATTTATAACTCGTGTACGGGAGGGTATTAAGATTTTATTATTTATATATATATAGTATTGATATGTTGATGACTATAAATCAACATTGATCTCTAATTATTTTACCTTTTCAGATAATGACATAAAAGTCATTTTTTATCATTAAAACCATTTCTTCAATATTTGTATTTATTAATTTTTTTTTAATTTCAGCACTCGATATCTTGAGAAATCTACTATATCTCAAAGATATTTTTTAACATTTTTAGTTAATAGACCGTACATTTGTGATTTAAATTCAAAATTTTAAGATAAGTTAATTCAATTTTTTCAACTAGTTGAACCAAGAATTCCTCAATAATCTTTTTTTTTTTTTTTATGTGCAAGACATTAATCTTTTTGTGGTTGGAACTGCTTGACTCATATTCTGAATTGGCTTGTGCAGTACAAAGTAACCAATCTCATACTTCTAGCGCTTAACTTCCTTTGAGATCTTTTTGCCTTTCATTTTTGAATCAGAATTATGATACTTTGTTTTGAGAAACATTATCGTTTGCATCATAAGACATTACAAAGATTCACATTAATACACAGGTTTAATGGTCTTTTCACAAAAGTAAATTAATGTTAAAGAGGTTCCCTTCAACTTGAAAAAAAATTGTCACATTTCACAATACTTGATTAATATTTGCACATTACAAACGAATTTTTCTATTATTTTTTCAATAAAAAAATCAGAGACTACAATTTTTTAATTTTGCTTTACAAATTTTGCTTTACAAGAAGTTTTGAGAATAATTAAATAAAAAAATTCGTTCAAAAACTTAATTTAATGGGCAAAAACACTTATTCAAACAACTTTAAATAAAAAAAACCAGTTTTTTTAAAATATCCCTAGATTATTGAGGGAGAATGACAAAAGAATTTTAAAAGGATCAATTAATTTAAATTAAATTTTAAGTATTAAATTTTAAGAATTTTTAACTTAATCTCTCAATTTTGAATTGTAATAAATTTATAATTTTTATTTTAAATTTTAACAAAAAAATTAAATTATTTTATTTTTTAATTATGTTAAAATTTAAAAAATAAATTATAAATTCATCACAATGCAATTATAAAATTGAGATTAAATTATAAATTTTTAAAATTTAACACTTAAAACTAAACTTAAATTAATTAATTTTTTTGGGACTTTGTGTCATTCTTCCCGTTATCAAACGGTCTTTCATTGGAAGCCTTCCTCATCCCATTTCCGAACTCAAAAACACGGGTGAACGCCTTACTTTTGTAGTTGACGGAAACACTCAGAAAGATTTGAAACTCTAATTTACCAGGTATGTTCACATTTTCCCATTTTGTAGTGACTCCATGTAGCATTCAGGTTAGTGTTTTTTCTCTTCCCTTTCTTTTCTTAATTGAGGGTTTCATTTAATCGGAATATTTATTGATCCGAGAGTCTTGTAGAACTTGATCCTGACTAAGATTTTGCTTGGGGTTTGCATATTCTATGGTAATGCTTACTGACTGCACACCAAGTGCTTGTTAAAATGCTTGAAAGAGAAATAACTCTGACTAAAATTGGTAGCTAACCTTTGTAACTAATTCCAGCTTTTTTACTTTACTTTAATTTGTGTGACATTTAGCCTACTCTGCTCAATAAAACAAACTTCCTCTAGGAACTACTTGGAACTAATTCTCCTAATTCCTTCCAAATGTGTTCTTATTCTCTATTGCCTCTGTATATCTTTCTTGTAAGGAATATTAAGCTGCAGTCTGCTTCATTACTGATTAGGTGACAACTTCAGGATTTGATTTTGTGGAATACTTACAAGAATGCTCGCAAGGAGGTTACTTTCTAGCAGACTCCAGCATCTTGGGTCCTTTTCATCTGAAACTCCTCGTGTACTGAAGCCTGGAGACGTCTTGAGGCAGACAAGGATTTTCACTGATGATGATGTCCTTCAATACTCCAAGGTGAGTCATGATTCTAATCCACTGCATTTTGATGCAGAAGCTGCACGGAATGTTGGATTTGAAGGTCGACTAGTACATGGGATGCTCGTTGCTTCTCTCTTTCCTCATATCATCTCATCATATTTTGTAAGTCCCTCACTGGCCCTCCGTCTAAATTTTGTAACGCCTACTGTGGATGTATGGGTTGTCAGTTATCTCAGTAAACTGAATGAGATTGATTAAACAGATTGATCAGGTTACTTGCTATTTAACAAAAAATGAGACTAGCAGAAGTCTGCCTATTTGAGGGCCTATAACTTTCATGATTTTGAGCATGATACACCGCATCAAAATATACATTTCAACAAAAACAAGTAGCCTTATCCCACTAGGTGGGATCAGACTGTCGAATTTCTTCAATCCAAAAATGTCAAGAGAATTCTCAAAACAGAACAAAGCAACAAAAGCCACATTCTTCATTTAAACTATACAGGAGCTTTTGGGACTTGTGTTCATCATTCATGTAACGAAGTTTTGGTCTCAATTTTACTCTTAAAAGACCCTCCACTCTGATTCTCTCATGCAAACTTTCCTGATGAAGCTTTTCTTTTTTGTTGTTCTTGCCCCTACACATTTCTGCTGCTATGGATAGTTGTAGCCTGGAGCTGTATATGTATCTCAAAGCTTGAATTTTAAGTTCCCTGTCTATATTGGAGATTCGATCACAAGCGAAGTGCAAGCAACTAATCTTAGAGTAAATAAAAATCGATATCTGTAAGTTTTATCTTGACACTTCTATTGGCATTTTTTCAATGACTCATGATTTTGCTTCTAACTGAGCCTTTGTCTGTTATTTAGGGCAAAGTTTAAGACCAGGTGCATCAAGAATGGTGATCTTCTTGTTCTTGAAGGTGAGGCTGTGGCTATGCTACAAACCCTTTCTATGGAAGATGGCCATTGCAAGGAGCAGTGAAAGCTATTGATGGGATCATAGCCTTTGGGCCTAGGATGCCAAGTTATCTTATTGAGTTAAATCAATATCACAAAATTGTTTTGGGTTCATATTTGCTTGGGTTCTATCAGGTGTTCACTAGTCTTCCTGTTTCCTATGGATGCCTTGTTTGAATAAACGATTCTGATTCGTTATTTATTATTATTATTATTATTATTATTATTATTATTATTATTGGCATTTTACTGATGGACTTGCAGTCATCAGAGGTTGAACTTTTGATTATATTAAACTCTTGTTGAATGCAAGAAAGAGAGGTCTTGTCTTGAGTTTGTGACTCTGATGAAGACTACTGTTCATTGTTAGTGTATGTGTACTGATAATGTTTGACAGAAGATTACTTTTTTGCACAGAACTTCAGGTGATAGGCTCAAAGAGGCATTTATCTGAGAAATTTTCTGGCTTATTCCAAATCTGATATTCATATACTTACGGAAATTTTTATTGGAATATCTAACTTGGAAGTTTTGACACACCCTAACTAGCGTACTGCTACGTCAACATCGGAATCATCACGAGTCATGACATGATAAAAGTTTGAAATGCATGTAACTGCTAATGCTGCATATTGCCTGATATGATTGTTACATATGACCCTGGGATGCAATTATTTGAATTTTGTTGTTTAAGATTTATGCAAGCATTCCTTCACAGATGACTTTTTTTTTTTTTAATTACAATTGAAACAAAATTGTTGATTTGTCCAACTAGCTCTGAACACAAATTTTTTTTCCCCTCTTTGTGTTAACACATCTAGTATCTGAAGCTTATCTTCGGCTAATCCAGATTCGAGCTGGGCCAGGTCCCAAAGAAAAGGCAGCTCTTCTAAATAAATTATCTCCATTCCCTTTGCTCCAGGGATCGAACGTAGGAGCTCGAAACAAGTATTCTTGAAACTTACAGTATTTTCTTTGTTGATACTTGATATAAAGTGGAATGTTACCTCTACAAAGAAAAAAAGAAAGGATGTTACTATCAATGACAATTAGTTCGGATGATTCATCATATGGTATCCTTAAGTAGTTTTATAGCAAGAAGACAACTACGAGGTCTATTGTTGAAAGAGATTTACATGTATATGTTTTGATTAAATTTAACATGAATTAATTAGTTGAGATTTAATATGACTTGTAGAAACTATGTGGTATTCACTAGGAAAAAAGAAAAAAGAAAAATTACTTGATAATAATCTAACAATAACTTTGATAGCATAATGTTTAAAAAAGAAATGTCACCTTCCAATAGAAACGAACCGAAGAATAGCATAAGAAAAAGAACCATGTGACTAACATCAAAAGTAGGAGAAGAAAGACATTCATGAGGAACAAACTAAATTCATAACATCAAATCTATCCCAAAATCAGACTAGGACTGATTTCAACATGGATGATCACTACAACACAAAGTGGGGTCGATTCTGGTTTGTGGGTCTGCCATTTCTAGTGACTGAAGATCCTCCAGACCAAGGCTGAGAGAACAAGCACCTGAATGCTGCCATTAAAATCTAAATCAGAAGCAGGACTTCTTTGTGGAAGTGGTGAAGGAGAAGGTTGTGCACCATTCACAACTTGTATAGCAACTTTCATTCCCTCCCAACAGTGTCCTCTTCCACTCAAGAAGTAATAGAATCTGGGCTCTGTGAGTTGGAACACATCTCTTCCACCTCTTGTTATGTTGTTAATGAAATCTGTCTCTATGCAGTTCTCATAGCTAGTCTTGTTCACCTCCAGCACATTGTATATGTTCTTGTCAAATCCAAAGTCTTCGAGGAAAAAAAAAAAACCATAAATATAGTTAGTATATATATATATTGGATTTGTTCTTCCTTTTATAGAGCATAAGAATCTGATAGAAGAACCTCAGAGAAGTAATAAACAGGTCCCTTTTGACAGTGTGTGATTTAAGAATCATTGAGCATTATAAAAGATAGTGTTATTACAACAAATGAGATGTTTAGAAAGAAGTAAATTAAAGAGACAGCTTTTTTATTCACAATGTGTTCCCTGTTGCAACAAAATGTTTAGAAAATTAGACTATAAATTCATGTACTGTATAAAGTTTAAGATGAGTTTCTCTGTTGATGACTTATAAATAATATGACTTATTATAAATAAATAATATGACTTGTTATAAGTTTTAGATTATATATAGATATAATTATGAAGTCCCCTTCATTTGCTATCTTATTTGGTGTAATAATCAACAAATGATTTAACCCAACAACGAATCAACACCAAATTACTTTCTTACAATACTTTCCTTTCACTTCATGCATGCTAATTTTTGTTCTCCAATTTCTTCCAAAATTTTCTCCTATATGGAGGATCTGATATGCTTGTCTGATCCAACACTCACAAATGAAATAACCCACAAATTTACTCTAAAGACATCTTCTTCTAATTTCATGCTTAATTTTGCCTTATTTATCGTTTTTTTTAAAATTAGAAATCAACTTTTTAACAAAGAAATTGAAGGAATACAACAAAATAACGTTAGTGGCCAATTGGAGACTAAGATACATGGGAGTTGGGAAAAGAAAAATAAGTAGTAAAGCTGTTTCAAAGCAGAAAAAAAAGATAACAACTCAAATAAATTTTTATTAATTACACTGTGTCTAGATTGAAGGTAAAAGTTATAGAGACATATATATATATATATATATATAATACTTTAGAATCATGCAATCATGACTTTTGAGGAAAGCAGAGTCATACAATAGGATATGATTCAGAATAAACTATATCATAAACAATAGAGGCTATAAAATCTTTTGTGAGAGAATATAAATCAAAATCAAAATATAAAAAGACTCAAAATTTAAATGATTTCAAAACTAAAACTTCAAGAAAAGATACAATATAACAAACCAAAACAAGAAATGAGCTTATATGAATAAAAAATTTGATGTGATATAACATGATTGATGCAAATAATACATTAAAACACAATTCAACTCTAAATTATCGATGTTTTATATGCATGTAATAAGATGACTTAGTGCATACTTATGAACTGGTTTCGGAAACGTGTCACGAATTTCTAAGAACTATTTCGTGAGAAGCAAAAAGATAAACATAAGTTTAGGTACTATATGTTATTAACAACAAAATTAAGAAAAGTCAAACAAAGAAACACGTGCTTGGGATTATAAGAAAGACTTACAAAGCCAATCGCCAACATAAAAATGTTCATGAGATGACCATTCTGAGAAATTAACACGGGGTGCCCAATTAAGCTTGCTTCCTCCAACATAGTGAATTTCAGCTTTGGCCTTTCTTATCATCATCGTCACCATCACCATTCCCCATACCATTTCTTTCATCCTCAAAATTTTCATTTCTTCTCTCTCAAAATCTCTCTCTCTCTCTCTCTCTCTCTCTCTAAAATGTAATAAAAATGTTTATAAGGAGACTGACTATCAAGAAAGGAGAAGAAGGGACTGACTATATATACTGGGGCAAAAAAAAAACAAGGAGGATTCGGCGCACAACTTTTGGGATTTAGGGTTTATAAATGTAATGTAATATGCTATATATGTCTTGGTTTGACTGTCTAGATTTGATTTAGATAAATTAATTTTTGGAGAATACAACGTTAGCTTCATGTACTTTTGATTGCATTGTGTTTGTTTCATTATTTTCATTCCCTTTAGGTTGATCTATTTACATTAATGTTAGTCTTTATAATTTTAAAAATATAGATATAGACCCTAAGTTAGTACCAAGGGATTTTTTTTTTTTGGATAAAAGTAGCACCAACGGATTTAATTTTGCTATGCTAACCTCTTTGTTGACGTAACAAAAGATTGTATTCGTATTCCATATCTTGTTTAATTCAAATATATAAGGAAGCTTCTTTTGCCCCATTACCTTTTATTTTTAACCATATCTAATCAATTTATTTCTTCTATGTGAGCATATTTCTATCATGTCAACAAAAAGGTTAGTAGAATCAAAGCAAAATTAATTTTGTTAGCGTCACCTCATAATCGTTATATGCATTTTAAAATCACAGAGATTAACATTGCAAGCGAAAATTAAAATAAATAAAATTATAGAGATTAAAAACAAAGCATAATTAAATTACAGGGACTTGTTGTTGTATTTTTCCTCAATTTTTATATTTTATAATCTAAATTACTATTTTATATTAATTAATAGTGGAATAATCTTTGTTTTGAATGTTGCTTCAGAAAAAATTGAATTGAATTGAATTAAAATTTAAGACAAAAATAGATTGTAAACCATTTAAATTAAATCTAAATGATTGATATGAGATGTACATAGGATATAAATGCTAATAGAGAGAAAGGCTGTCGCAAGTTGGGATTTTTGAAGCCACATATTTGGAATTGGGATGTATTCGCAATTTCGCATTATGGAATTGAATTTGAAATTTTTATTTCAGGAAATTAGAATATTTACAGAAAATTGAAATTAATTATCCTTGTTACCATTTGTTTAATTTGCAAGGCTGAATTCAAAGTTCAATTCTGAATCGGTCCTTTTCTGCCAATTGATGCGGAAGAAAAAGATGAACATCATGTAAAATAAAATGGTAAGAAAATTATAAATCATCCTTATTAGTTATTCGGCAGTAAAAATATGCCATGAAAAGGAAAGAAAAAAGTGATCTTCATTTTTTCCCCAACAAGAAAACAGTAATCAAATTAATGACTTACTATATTATTTTGAAGGATATGTACACATAACCAAACCAAGAATGATGAGGTAAAGTTTTTTTTTTTTTTGGTTTGTGGAAAGCATACATTTTAATCTCTGCACTTTACTTGTGTTTTGTTATAGATTTTTATATTTTTTTCAGTATTTTAGGTCCCTACACTTTTATTTTTCAATGTTTTACATTCATTCAAGGTTCCTACTCTTTGTTTATTTTGTTCATTTAGAAACTTAGAACACTAAAAAATAAAAGTGAAGGGCTTAAAATATAAAAAAAAAGTGCATGGACCTATAATAAAATACGAACAAAGTGTAAGGATAAAAAGATATGTTTTTCTTTTTTTTTTCAATAAAAATTAACTTTGATCGTTGAAGAGTTTTTCTTAATTTTTATTTTTAGTACTCTTGCTCAACCTAGAGATAGAACAAAAATTATTAATAATAATTGGAATTCTGCTCGTGCAATGCACGGGCATTAATATTACATATGCTTAAAATTAAAATATGTATATATGTGTGTGTATGAAAATTAAAATTGACCAATCCCTTCCTCATATGACACTTTTTTATAGGAAAAATTGGTGACAAGGACCTTGTTAGAAGGAAAATTGATCCCAAGGACTAAATGCAATTCAAGGGCCGAGACTAATATTTTATTTAGTAAATAATATGAGTGAATGACCAAAATATTTCTCTATTTAAATGAATGAAATTAAAAAAAAAACAAAGGCTCCATGTTCAACACATGCACCCTAAGCCAGAAGCTTTGCATCCAAGTCAGAAGCCTTACACGCAAGCCAGAAGCATTGCACCCCAAACTAAAAGCCTAGCACCCCTGACTAAAAGCCTTGCATACAAACCAGAAGCCTTGCACCTAAGATAATTAAAATTGCTAATTTTTATTATCATGGATGTGAGGCTTCTGGTTAGGCCGTACAAGGTTTTTGGTTTAGGTGCAAGACTTCTTCTGGCTTGGGTACAAGGTTTATGGCTTTAGGTGCATATGTTGCATAGGTAGCCTTTGTTTTTTTTTTTTTTTCAATTTTGTTGGTTTAAACAAAGAGGTATTTCGGTCATTTATTCATATTGTTTAATAAATAAACTATTAGCCTTGGTCCTTGAATTGTATTTGGTCCTTAGGATCAATTTTCCTTCCAATAAAATCCTTTTCACCAATTTTCTCTTTTTTTTATTTGACCACTTGGTATTTTGAAAAACTTGGTGATATTTCTATCACCTACCAAGATTAATTTGGATCCTATTAAGTGATGCCATATTCTTATCAAGGACAGTTCCATTGATACCTTGAGGATGTATTTAGCATTTTTCATATAATGCTACTATATATTTCAACATTCAAATAAAACAAGATCTTATGTTAAACTGATTTAATTCTATCAACCAATCAAACCTAGCCCCCTCAATTATGACAATTATTTACTATTAGGGAAGAGGGATTGAGAATGCAAAGTTTCCCCCCTCCCCCCAAATAAAAAGACTATGGGCACATTCGTGTAGCAAACAAGAAGGTTACATAATATCAAAAATCATGAGATTCATGCATCAAATTAGAGGATAGTTAAAAAAAGTGGTGTCAATGTTAGTTAATTTACTTGATAAGTAAGTCAATAAGTATACCAATTTCTTTGAAAACACGATACAAAGTGACAATCTAATTTCTTTTATGGAGATCCCTAATCTTGAAATGTGGATATTATACTTGATTGCTTTTCATCCATAAATCTCATTACAATAGAATTAAGAAGCTAGATGTATAATAGTTAGGATCATTTGGTTTGTTGATTTTGCAGTCGTGTGTGGAGATTTTTTAGAAGTTCTAAGTAACATAGGGCAATATTAGATTTTTAATAATATATATTATTTTGTATAGTTATTATTAGGGTGGTTATAACTATTTTACTTTTTATTATTATTTTATTTTTTGGTAGATCTTTATTTTATTTTTTGATAGATCTTGATAAATTTTTTTCCTTTGTATAACTATATTTCATATTGAAATTAATAAGATAAGTTACTATTTTCACAAATTATATTATGGTACTAGAGCCAATGAAATTTCTTTTTCATTATTTTCCCTATCTACTTTATTTAGTGCTTCTGGAACCTGATAGCACCTGAACCCATCGTTCTGCCTTCCTGCTTCTGTACTTGCTGAAGGAACTACTCAGTCTTCATCTTCTTTTGCCTCTTTGTCGTTCACTCAAGATCAATACAATAAGCTCCTTGCTCTTGTACAAACCCCTGCACCTGCTACTTCATTAAATCCTTCAGCACAAGTTAATCTTGTGACTACCTCTCCTTACACTCCTTCTCTTAATATGTCTTTAACACCAGGTATATCTCATTTACTTTCCTTTAAATGCCTTTCATCTGCCTAGATCATTGATAATAACGTGACTGATCATATATGTTTTTCTATTGATCGTTTCTCCAAGTTAGTTTCTATTTCTCTTATTTCTGTTCAATTACTTGATGATTCTGTTGTTCAAGATCATCATTTTGGAACCATTTATCTTTCCTTTGATTTTATCTGACTAATGTTTTGTTTATTCCTCAAATTAACTATCATTTGATTTTTATTTCTAAACTCATTTTTCACCTTCACTATTTCTTAATCCTTAATGTTACCCATTGTTTCATTCAAGCCTTGGATTGTTGGAAGACGATTGGTATAGCTGAGGTTCAAAATGGTTTCTATGTTCTTCAAGATCATATAAGTAGGTTCTCACCTTCTTCAATTTCTCCTGTTACTTTACATTCTAAACCTATACCTTCTTTTGATTTGTGGCATCTTAGGTTAGGATATGCCTTTTCTACTGCCATTAGTATTTTAGGTCAGAAACCATCTTCAATCACTTGTAAACCTACCTTAAATAAAATTTGCAATGTTCGTCATTTTACCAAACAAAGAAAATTACAATTCCCTGTTAGTGTTTCTCACACTACTCATACTCTTGAACTTTTAAATGTTGATATTTAGGATCCATTTAATCCCGCTTCTTGTAACATTTGAAAACTTCAAATCTGGAATAAATTGATTAATTAAGAGATAAATTAGTTTAAAAAATAATTAATTAATTTAATTATGTTTTTAGGTTGCTAATTAAATTTTTGGGTCATATTTGGCTCTAAATTGAGTTAGAATGAAAGTTGGATCAAATCGAGTGGCATTCGGGGGAGCAAAATGACATTTGGATCGAATCGGGTGGCATTCAGGGGAGTAAAAATGACATTTTTCTCCTCGCATCATGAGCCGTGGTTTGTGTGGCGTGCGCTGCGATGCACGGCACAGCACAGACAACTTAAAATACAAAAATCATCAGAAAAAGGTGGTTTATGGGGGGAAAGACCTAGGACACAAAGGGAAAGACTTTAGGCACTGTTAGGGCTTTATTTTGGAAGGATTTTAAAGCTAAATTGGGCTTTCAAACTCTTAAGTAAGTTTTTCACGCTTCTCCTCTACCTCATCATCTCATTTTTCATGGAATTTGAAAGTGGGAGAATTTACTCTAAATGGATTAAGCTATAAGTTTATGTTTTAAAGATTTTTATTAACTTTAAAGGTTTGATTTAAATTTCTTAACCTTAGATAAGTAGTAATATGAAGTTAAATTATTGTTTGGTGTAAGTTAGATCA